TTGTGCATAGATTTGTTGCTTTGCAGCTGTATAGAGTCACAATTTTGTATTATTTCAACGTTTCAAATGTTGGTCTTGTATTCCAAGTCATCGCAGCCACGTTTGTTAAGAAGAAAGGTAATTAAAATTTTTTTGGTAGATCATCAATCAAGTCTACTTTCCAAACCCCTCCCCGCCCACCGTCCTGGGATTCAGACTGATGGGTTCAACCTTGAGTGGGGAAGAGGTAATTAACTAGACCTTACTATGCTTTAATTAATTCTTTCTATTTTATGCAATAGTGCATGAAAAATGACTATCAAGCATTTTGAAACTTATAGTTAATTATTTGTAGTAAAAACGTTATACAATCATAATTTTAAAGAATAATGGAATTTTTTTTTTGATCACCTGAAAATTCACTGAATCATCGATTAACTGGATTCGAGTTGGGCAGGACTTAATGAGCAGCAAAACCCTCCTTCATAAATTTTAACGGAACTATATTTTCAGAATTTGAAACAAAACCAAAACTTTTGAATAAATAGAAAGCATTCCTTACTAACTCATTCACCGACTCATGGGTAAATAATTTTATTGTTCATTGTAGAGGAAATTAAAGTAGGTAAATATAAGTAAGGAAAACTAAAAAAATATGATATTAAATAAAATCTTAATATAATTCATCATAATGATTCAATAATAACTTTAAAATCTCCCGTTAGTATAATTAATTGATTCATTAACTAAGTAATTGATTTTCTTATCTTTTTATATCTGTGTAATATTCGTGCATCATGGTTTTGAATTTTGATTGAACTGAAGGGTGCAAATATAAGTTAAATTTAACATGAGCAAGGTCCTGGAATTGGTATTTATTTCCAACAAGAGCAGCAAGAGTGAAAGAGGTGAGGACATGTAGTAGCTTTGTAGGATTAATATTAAGAAGAAATTATAAGAAACTAGAAAACATACGCGTTTAATTTGAAGAGACGATGGAATTACATGATTGAACAGGGATTTGGGTTTGGATCACAGACCACTAGTTCTTGGCACGTGGAAGGATAACAGTAACATATTGGTGGAATGATCTCAGTCGGAGGATCAGTTTTTTTTGGCGGCGGAGGATCAGCTGGTGCTTGAGCTTTCTCTTCTTGCACAGAGAGTATGTTGGCAGATCTAAGCTTTTTCCTGAGTGCACAGGTGAGAGCAACTGAATCAATTCCATCTCCGATCACAACCAGCTTGTCTGCCCCTTGTATTGCCACCGAGTTCAGACCTGTCAGGATGATCAGCGAAGGAAAGAAATTAATAATTAAGAGATTAATTTACAAGCAAAATCAAAATTGTGTTTCCGGTAATTAATTAAACATGTGTATATGTTTACACACACACACACTAACCATCTGTTCCAGCAGCAATCTTGAGGGCCTTGGTTCTGCATTTGTCGCAGTTTATTGGTACTTCGATGACTATCTTTTTCTGCAACATTAGATTAACAATTCAATACATTTAAACTTCTGTTGCTTTTCAAAAAAAAAAAAAAATCATAATAGCAGAAATTAAAGTATTGATAAAAGGAAAAAAAAAAAAAAAAAAGGGAAAAAAGAAAGGAAAGGAAGAAACAGGCCTGCCTTACCGGCATGTTGTTGCTACGACACATAGGGAGGATGAGTACGATGTGGTTTTATTTATAGCCTAAGCCTTCATTCATTGTGAAAAAATTGATGTGTTCGGGATTTGATGACTTAGTCAAATATTACTGCGTACATTAGAAGGCCCTCCCCTAAAATTATCAATTTTCTTGTCTGTACGAGAATTTGGTAAACACAGATTAAAGTCAAGTTGAGGTTGTCCGCCTGTACGTTCTTTGGACTGTTAAATGCGGTTTCACATTATTTTAAAAATTTTCATATATTTGGATTGAGAAAAATAAAAAAATAAAAATTTCGGATTAATTTATTTTTAAATGATTTTAAATGTATACTTTTCACGTTCACCTATTACATTTAGAAAAATTAGATTAAAATTTTATTTTGGTTCCTAAATTATTATATGAACTTTTGATTTGGTTTTTAAACTTAAAAAATCTTTGATTTAGTCTTTGTTATTGATCATTTTAACCCCAACTTAGTCTTTTCATTAAAAATCTCATTACGTATGCTGTTAATTAATTGTTACATGATGATGTGGCAAACTATTAATTCACGTGGATGATTATGGCAAAAATTAATGACATGAAAAAAATAATAATATGAAAAATAAAACTTAAAAAATTCTTTTTTTTTTCTTTTTTCTTTTCTTTCCCTTTTTCTTTACCTTTTCCCCTTAGAACCCATCAAACCTAGCAGTCGTCGCTGGGTTCCTTGGAACCAGCACGTATGGGTTTGATGGAACCTAGGCGTTGGGTTCGTTCAAACCCACGCCTGGGTTCTTTCTTTCGAACTTAGGTGTTGGGTTTAAAAAAAAAAATTTTTATTGGTTTTATTGTTTGATGATAAAGAAGAATTGATTGATGATAAAGAAGAATTGATTGATGAATAATGGAATTTCGTTTCATTGAATTAATTGTTTGATTTAGAAAAATGGTGATGAAAGTTGTCTCAGAGGAGGTCAAGAGAGAGAGAAAAAGAAGGATGAATGAAGAAGATTTGAGAAAGAGGATGATGGAGGAAGAAGATGAGGATAAAATTGTAATTTTGATGAGCTCCATGGCAAGAATATAACTTGTCGTGTTGTCGTGTCATCATTTTTATTTAATATGTTTCAAATTTTTGCCATGTCATTAACTCTCTGTGAGTTAATGGTGGATTTTTAACAGAAAGACTAAGTTAGGATTAAAATGGTAAACAATAGGGATTAAATCAATAATTTTTTAAATTTAAGGACCAAATTGAGAGTCCATACAATAATTGAGGGACCAAAATAAAATTTGAACCAAAAATTAATTTCACTAACTATTAACCTCACAACTTATTTATACTTAATTTATAACATAACACTTGTTTCTCTAGTGCTCCAACTCTTGAAGTTGGTTTCACATTATTCTGCCTACCAAACAACATATTTTAAGACAATATTACCCTCTTTTTACTCCATGGATGACAACAAATCTTGTGAGGTTAGAAAATGCCTACATATTCCCATCTTTATGGGGATTTAACATGAAAGTAGAACTTACCCTTGTCCTCATTATTTGTAGGGAATGGTATCTTAATTATAAAATTATTTTAACTATTTTATTTTATTATTTTAAAACTAAATATTTTAAATAGTTGGATTAAAATAAAAAAAATGTTAAATTTGGTTTGATTTAAAATAAAAAAGAATGTTAAATTGTATTTAACTTAACATTTTATTTTTTTAATATTTCACAGATTGAAAAGGTCTCCACAAGTCTTCACAAAATGAAAAATATTCTTTGCAAAATTTCACAGAAAGAACATACTCCTGTCCCTATCCTGACTGAGAATTTTTACAAAGAAAACAGTCCCGTCTCCATCCTAGTTGAGAATTTTTACAGAGAAAACATGCTCCCGACCCCACCCCGCTCCTAGGGTGGGGATTCCACGAGGAAATTACCATCTCTACTCTACTCTCTGGAGTGGGAAATGGGAATCCAAATTATTTGCCGTCGATCCCATGTTCCCAACTAAAGATTATTTGATGTGCACCACCAGTCAAGTATACACTAACCAAAGGAGAAAAAAAAAAAAAAATCTAAGCTTCAGCTTCACAACAGGAAATAGGAATAGGTATGACTGAGGAATATTGGGTGCACAAGAGTAGCGGAGCAGGGTGACTGGAAATAAATGAAAATATTTAAATAATAAAATTAAAATTTATTAAACTAATTAACGAAGTTAATTTCATTTTCATTTTAAATGAAAACAACAATAATAAAGTCAATTTTAATAGTAACACAGTAGTTTTTTTTAATGAGTTCATATTAATCCCAACTCTCAATTTATAAAGTCAATTTTAAGAGTTTTATTAATGTCAATCTTGAAATAGTTGAAAATTTATGGTTAGTTTTTTTTTTTTTTAAGTACATATTAATCAAAACTCTCAATTTATAAATTGTAGCGTTAAATTTAAATTAAGTAATTTTATTTAATTAAAATTTAATTTAAAATTTAAAAATTTATTTTATTAAATATTAATATTTACATTTAAAAATTAATTATATTAAAATATATTATTAGTTTTTAAATTTAGATACTTATATTTAATAAAATAAATTTTAAAATTTTAAAAATTTTTAAAAATTAAAATTGATACATACTAATCTCTTTATATATATACACACGCGCGAAGTAATTATTGAGCTAAATCAGGCAAGTGACCCAGTCAACTCCATGTTATCGTTCAAGCTCGTCCATTAAAGTCCAGAATTACTTGGACTAAATCGGACAAATGGCCTACTGTTGAAACGGTGTCGCTTTTTCTCTACACCTACACCAACAATATTCAGGGAAATCCCAGCCCAGTGGCATCGTCAAACCCTAGCTGGCTAGCTTCAAGCTTCCGTCCGGAGAGAAGATAACTGAAAGAAATGGCTCTGTGGCGGAGTCTCTCAGCTCCATGGAGGCTCCTTCGCCCATTCATCTCCCCATCCGCCAACACCAACATTTCGCATCGTTGTTTCTCCTCTCCCTGTACTCTCTTTTTATCCCATTCTGTCCTATTCTTCTTTTTATTTTGGGTTTAATTTGTGTTTCCTGTTTTGGGTGCTGGGTCATTCCCATAATCGTTACAGAAAACGAAACAAAAATTCAGTCTTTTATTTTTATTTTCTTTTTCCTTTTCTTTTTCTTTTTTCCAATGAAATAGTTCTCAGATAACATTGTGCATAGATTTGTTGCTTTGCAGCTGTACAGAGGAGTCACAATGTTGCATTGTTTCATCGTTTTAAAAGTCATCGAATCATCATTTGTTAAGAAAAAAGGTAATTAACTTCTTCTGGTACAGCATCAATAACTTTTACTTTCCAAACCCCTCCCAGGCCCACCGTCCTAGGATTTTAGCAGATGGATTCAAACTTGAGTAGCGGGGAAGGTGTAATTAACTTGACTTCTTATGCTTTAATTAATTCTTCCTATTATGCAATGGTACATGGAAAATGATTACTAAGGGTTATGAAACTTATAGTTACTTGTAGTAAGAATGTTATACTTATACAATCCTAATTCTAAAGAATAATGATTATTTTATTGCTCATCATAGAAAAAATTAAAATAAGTGAATATTAGTCGAAAAAACTAAAACAAACAGCATAAATTTTTATTATTTAGAGATGATTAATCTAATTATCTAAAAAACCTTTATATAGTTTATTAAATAAAACCTTGATACAAATCATCATAATGACTCCATAGTAACTTTATAATCTCCGACTGTATAATTAATCAATTCATTAACTTTAAGTAATTGATTTCATATCTTTTTATATCTGTAATATTCATGCATCATGCATGGTTTTGAATTTTGATTGAACTGAAGGGTGCAAATATAAGTAGAATTAAACATAAGCGGGGCCGGGTAATGGAATTGGTATTTATTTCCAACAAGAGCATCAAGAGCAAAAGAGGCAAAGACGTAGTAGCTTGGTAGGATTAACATTAAGAAGAAATTATAAGAAACTAGAAAACACGCGCGCGCGTTTATTTTGAAGCGACGATGGAATCACATGATTGAACAGGGATTTGGGTTTGGATCACAGACCACTAGTTCTTGGCACGTGGGAGGATAACAGTACCATATTGGTGGAATGATCTCAGTGGGAGGATCAGGTTTTTTTGGCGGCGGTTGATCAGCTTTTGCTTGAGCTTTCTCTTCTTGCACAGAGATTATGGTCGCATATCCAACCCTTTTCCTGAGTATACAGGTGAGAGCAACTGAATCAATTCCATCTCCGGTCACAACCAGCTCATTTTTGTCTGCCCCTTGTATTGCCACCGAGTTCAGACCTGTCAGGATGATCAGCGAAGGAAAGAAATTAATAATTACGAGATTAATTTACAAGCAAAATCAAAATTGTGTTTCCTGTAATTAATTAACATGGTATATATATATACACGCACACACTAACCATCTGTTCCAGCAGCAATCTTGAGGGCCTTGGTTCTGCATTTGTCGCATTTTATTTGTACTTGGATGACTATCTTTTTCTGCAACATTAAATTAATTAACAATTTAATACATTAAAACTTACTTCTGTCGCTTTTCAAAAAAAAAAAAAATCATAATATCTGAAATTAAAGTATTGAAATAAAAGAGAAAAAAAGAAAAGGAAGAAACAGGCCTGCCTTACCGGCATGTTCGTTTGTATGACACAGAGACGATGAGTAGGTGGTGGTTTTATTTATAGCCTAAGCCTTCATTCATCCTGAAAAAATTTGACGTGCTTGGGGTTTGAAGACCTAGTCAACATTACTGCATACATTAGAGGCCTTTCCCAGAAAATTATCAATTTTTTTGTCTGTAGGACAATTTGGTAAACACAAAGATCAAAGTCGGCTATCTGCCTGTACGTTCTTTTGGACTGCTAAATGCGGTTTCGCATTATTTTACATTTTATTTATTATATATTTAGATTGAAAGGAATAAGGAGGGGAGAAAGAGAAATAAAGATTTTTTTTTACTAATTCAACTTTGAGCAATTTTAAAAACATATTATCAAATGGTAGATGCATTTAAAGAAATCAATTTTACTAATTATTAGCCTCAAAACCTAAAATTTAGATTTAATTTAT